CGTGGCGTCTGGTGATTGGCTTGCTAGCCGTATAAGAGGCTTGAGTGGTTTCCGCCCAAGTTGGAGGACTCCACGAACAAGGGAGGAGGAAACTTCATGCTGTGTGAAGATCTCTAAGCGCTGTGGATCCTCACGGACCCAGTGCATTTGAAGCAGGCTACGGAGATCTGATCAATCTCTAGCCTCTCCCCGTCGCCGATAGAATTCCTAGACGTACCCCACCCGCGCGCAAAAGAACTGGACCCACGGAGCCTAGCAAACTTCGTGTGAGTTGGTTCAGAGCTCTTCCGGACGAGTACTTTCTTCAGCTGACACGACGGGCTCGCGTGTTCAGAGCCTTCAGCCGGATTGGGCTAGAGTTCACGAGTCTAGAACTCTTGTCCGCCTCTTTCCTTTTCTTCTCTGTAACTGCAACTGAAGCAAGCTTTCCAGCCTACACCATTGCCATCTCGGTGTAAGTAAACAATCTTTTAAACTACCGATACGCGTCCGTGCCTAATTCCAGAGCGAAAGCCTTCCCTCTCCGCCCCCGCGTGCCCGGGCTGCTGGCCACAGCCCGTGTGCAGCGCGAAAAAGGGCTCAGGGCGCTCCCGGCCCACACAGGGAGCAGAAGAGTTAAAGGAATCCTGAAGCTGAATAATGTTAGCTTCACTGTGGGCATCACTACCTGGTGGAGCAGCCCTGCACCAAGTTAAATGCCAGCATAAAGAAAGCTATCAGTATTAGTGCACAAGGATCCCAAGTTTCAGAACCAAAGTACTTTGGGATGTGCAACTCCAGAATGAGCAGCTGTTGAGACTGAGAGAGAAACAATTTACTCTTTCTGGAGATATAAGGATTGTTAATATATCAATTAAAGGGCCTGTAAAGGGATTGCAAATGAATGGATCAAGCACTGGGAACTGGAAATGATAAAACATCCAAGCAGGGTGGATAAGAAAATACCCTACTTTGGACCTAATAGGGCAAAGGTGAGCAATTAAGTCAGCTGGTGAGCCACTTAATGAGTTTTGGTGAGTTGTGGAGGGCTGCATACACAAAATCTTTCAAAAGATATAATTTTAACAAATTACAGATAAAAAACAAATCATATACTAAAAATCAAATATCTACTATAACATTTTAATTTTATAATGAAAAAATTATTTGTCCTGATTTACGCTTTTTCATAGATTTTTGGGGTCGGAAGGGACCTCAGTAGATCATTAAGTCTGACCCCCTGCCCTGGGCAGGAAAGAGCGCTGGGGTCAGATGACCCCAGCCAGGTGCTTGTCCAGTCTCCTCTAA